ACCGGAGCCGCCGGTGTGAAGGGGCTTCGGTCCCAGCGGTGACAGTGTCCGGCGTCGGGAGCGTGGCTCCCAGAGCGTCTCGGGGACGGTCAGACTGGTAAGTTTCTTTAACAACCGCGCCGGCACAGCAGGGTTGGCGCTTCTCCCCGGGGGACACCTGAAGGGGGGCGGGCGGGGCTCCGCGAGGGCTCCGCGAGGGCTCCGCGAGGGCTCTGCGAGGGCTCCGCGAGGGCTCCGCGAGGGATGCGGTACCCCCCTGCTCTCCGCCAGACGGCGCCCCCGCCCCGGACGCGCGCGGCCCGCGCTTCCGGCGGCGCAGGAAGGCGCGGCGCGCGCGGCTCCGGTGAGCGGGGCGGGGGCGGCACCGGGGCCGGGGGGACCGCGAGGGGCGAGGGGGGCCAGGGGGGCTCCAGGGGGCTCCGGGGGAGGAGCGGGCGGGGCCTGACCTCAGAGAGCGCTCCCCGGGAGCGCGCGGGCCACGATGTGGCGGCGGCGGGGCCGGGACCGCGCCATCCCGGCGGCTGAGAGGGGCCGGGGCACAAGGCTCCCCCCGCGGGTTCTGTGGTACCGTTAGCGGTACCCAGAGCCGCGACAGGGAACCTCTTTATTACCACCCATTCCACCGGCCCTGTGCTGGTGCGGGAGGTCAGGGAACTGCAGCTGGGTTTGTAAATTGGAGAATGAATTAGAACCGTATGGGCTAGTGCTCTGCTGCACTTAATTCCTGTAAGGTCTCACGGTGCGTCTCTTTCCTAGGAAAAATGATTTCTGAAAGCAGCTCCTTCGTGAAGGGCATGGTGCTTGGAGGAGCCTTCTGCATGTTGGTTACACTGCTGGGGCACATCAAGGTGGGGCACGGGACCAAAGCACGGGACCACGAGCACCATCACATCCAGGCTCCTGACAAAGAGGATGTCTTAAACCTTTCTGAGGGTGAACGTATGGAGCTTAGTAAAAGTATCCGTGTTTACTGTATCATCCTTGTCAAACCAAAAGATCTGGGGCACTGGGCTGCAGCAAAGGAGACCTGGAGCAAGCACTGCGACAAGGCAGAGTTCTACAGCTCTGAAAATGTCAAAGTGTTCGATTCTGTGGCCCTCAACACAAAAGACATGTGGGTGATGATGAGAAAAGCTTACAAGATAACGTATGAACGCTACAAGGATGAATTCAGCTGGTTCTTTCTTGCGTATCCAACAACATTTGCTATTGTTGAAAATCTCAAGTACTTCTTGCTGAGAAAAGACCCCTCTCAGCCTTTTTACATCGGCCACGCTGTGAAATCTGGTGACCTCGAGTATGTGGATGGCGAGGGAGGAATCGTCTTAAGCATCGAGTCACTGAGACGACTCTCCAGTGTTCTTGAAGACCCCAACAAGTGTCCGGAGCAGGGAGGTATGATTTGGAAACTCGCCGAGGACAAGCAGCTGGCGATCTGCCTGAAGTACACGGGGGTGTTCGCCGAGAACGCGGAGGATTCAGAAGGGAAGGACGTCTTCAACACCAAATCCGTGGGCGCCCTCATCAAGGAGGCCATGGGCACCCACCCGCAGCAGGTGGCGGACGGCTGCTGCTCCGACATGGCCATCACCTTCAGCGGGCTGAGCCCCAACCACATGCACGTGATGATGTACGGGGTGTACAGGCTGCGGCCCTACGGACACACCTACAGCGATGCCCTCGTGTTCTTGCCCCCGGAGGGCTCGGACAACGACTGAGGTGCCACCAGGGGAGGAGTGGAGTCGGCTCATCTCGCGACACTCGTTGGTACTGACGCGTGCCGGTACTGCTGTACAGGTTGTTTTTGCACACTGAGGGTTGGTGAAGGTCAACTTCAAAAGCGGAAGGAGAAATTTTTTTTTTCTAAATCTTTTATACAGAAATGCTTCTTGGCTTTTGGCAGAGCCGGAGTGAAATGATAAAAAGAAGTTGTTTATGTTTATAATGAAAGGGAATTAAGTTTATAGGGGGGGTTTGTACATGTAAATATTTATTAATGAAAATTCAAATGAAGTTTAGTCTACTCTTACAAATATATTTTTGCAAGACTTTGATTCTCTCAGTTCTTCCAGGCATTTCTAGAATGTCTTTTTATCTTTCTAAAATATACCAATAAAACTGACTACAGATTCAGTCTCTAAGACTAATTGTAAGATGTTTCTTTTACTCTCAACTACACAATAGCTTGAGCTCCGTTGTTTTATCAGTTGCTGCTTTATGTACAGCCTCCTAACGCAGTAAGGAATTATCAGGAAGCAAGGTGGCAAGAAATCCTGTAGGAAGTTGCAGCATAATCATATCAAGTGCCCTTTGGACTGCTGTTTCTAAGCAGACAAAAGAAAGAGATAACTGTATTTGAGTAAGTATTAATGTGGTCAGGGAGCCTGTTTGCACAGGAGTAATTGCTCATTTAAAACTTCACTCCACCTATAAGTGTATTAGAATAAAGGTTTGGTGTTACTTCCACTCATGTTAGTGGTGCTAATAGTGTTTACAAGGAAGTAGATGGTTAATTGTCGGTAAAAATGTAGTGTAGATACATTTACAGAGGCTTTTAACATGACGATGCAGAAAGAACAGCACTTGCTTGCACTCCCACCCTTGGAATTTTATGTGACACAGGTAACACAACAACCTGCAGAACTCCCCCATACTGGGGTTGGTGGGGAGGTGATGGGGTTTGGGTTTGTTACAGTTTTGGGGTTTGGTTTTTGAGTTGGGGTTTTTTGGGGGAGTGGGAGGAGGGCACAGGGGTGGTGGTTGTTTGGGTTTGGTTTTTTTGGTGTTTGGGGTGGGTTTTTTTTTTTACAACTGAGGCTCAAGTTACTGGGTCACACTCCCTTCCCCTCACAGCATGTGCAAATAAACAGCACTTCAGTATTTACTCCATTTAGAATTCACTGACCTGACATGGGTGTTTCAAGACTTAAGGAAGGTACTACATCTACCTGCTACATCTGCGACTATCACAGGCTTTGTTGGTACTACAATATTCATAAAACACTGGAGAAGATGGTGTTATCTCACCTTTAACAGACCGTTTGTGACACCCCACCCTGAGCTGCAAGGGGGCAGGTGGGAAAGTGAAACAGCTGCTTCAAATTGTTGAGAATATCCACATCTTGTTTTTTTTTGTTTTAAGCATCAGGTCCTTCCTTTTTGACAAGAAGGGTAAGACAACTGTTGAGACCCCCTGACAAGCTCCCACAGCTCAGCTGTTTCAGAATGTGTAAAAGGTGAGGCAAGATGCACCTTCTCGTCCTGTCAGAGCTCAGCTGAAAGAGCAAGACAAATGTCCATGATTGCTGCTAAAACCTATATAAAACCTGTATTTTGATGTTTTGCTAAACTGATAAACAATTTAAGCCTGATTTGACTTGTATCTTCTTACAGAATAATTTATAAAGGTTAGACCCACTGTTGGGAATACTTTGACAGAACCAGATGAAGAAAGTAAAATTTTGATTTCAGTGTTTCTGATATTAAAGACAGTTCTGACCCCCCCATAGAAACAGCAGTCATAGGAGAAAGGATGGCAGTGGACAATTCAAATGAGAATAAATCTCATTTGTCACAGATTTGAGAGGTACTGTAAAACAACAGGAGGAGACAATGCAAAGGGAAAAAGCCACAGAACACAAGGCTAGCTTGTTTTACACAGAAAAAAAAAAACCAATACTGAAGCACAAACTGATTTCACATAGCACTAACCAGGAATTAGTACATTTATAGTGGGACCTTTAAGATGCATAAAAATGTCCATCAGCATTCTGAAGTTCTGAGGTTTGATGAAACTTTTTCTGCTACACTGCTTAAATTTTGTCTTCCTCCATCGACAGTTTCAGATTTACCCTGCCATTTTCAGAAGTATAATCTCGTAAACCATCTTACAGGAGAAATTTTAAAGTAGCACATACTAGGTGATATATTTCATCTCCCACATTTTAATTTGGCTTTAGAATCAGATGGAGAACTCCTTGGACACTCTCTTCTGTGAAGGTCCCAGGGTGGGGAAATCAAACATGCAGAACAGCACCGAGACAAGGCACGGGCACACAAAATTACATTCTGCCATTGCACAGTGCATGTGTTAGAAGAGAGACTTGAAATATTAATAAATGCTCCCAGAGACAGTTATGAGTGGTAGACCTTAAGGTTTCCTTAGTTTATTACATGATTCCAATTTTCCATAGGCATAGCTTTGGGTATGCAGTTGCTGAACAAAGAGTTGGGTTATCCAGACAAACACACAGTGCTCCTGAACCCATTCTGTAGCTGCAGGTACGTGTGGCAGTGTGCACAAGCTGAGATCTCCTGAAGTTCCACCTGAAGAAGCTGCTCCTGGCTACACTGATAACCATGGTTTCCTATCATGCCTTTATCTAACAGTGATTTTGCTTCTGCTCCTAAAATAAGGCGGCAAACAGGGAGTAGAGAGCGTCAGGCACCGGGGTGGCACACGCTCCCTTTGGAGCCTGCCCACCATTACTATAAACTCCACTACAAGGAGAGCAATCTCAAAGTGTTGGCAGGTAGAAATCTGAACATAGGAATAGTCTTCAGATATGAACCAGCATAAAAGAGTTTCTAGTCCACATATCCGTCTAAATTCATAAATCCTATACAGATAAATGCATATTAAAAAGAGAAAATCCTTAAGGAAAATGAAGTTAATGCTGTTAATAAGTTAAAAAATAATGTCAAAAAAATGATTTCTCCACATTCCAGAAACACGTAGACTAACAAGATGTTAATCAGAAGAAAAAAATCTGAAATGTTTCAGAGGTTTTAAAAACTGTATTTATATTTCACATACACTTTATATTACTCTTTTAGAAGAGCACAAAAATGTAAACATTTCTTGGCTTTTTCCTCCTTTCTCATTGAAATAGTCTACTCACAGTCCATGCAGAATCTTTCCACCAGGTGTCTTCAGTCACTGAAGACTTGGGTTTAAGAGAAAACAAAATAACTGTAATAAAAAGAAATCTAGAAAACTATTGTAGCCTAACAGTACTTTTGCATTCACGTGATTTATTTAGCATAGCCACAGAACAAAATAATTTGTACATTCAGTCACATTAAAAACAAGGAATTACAAAGCAGTCCACATTTAATCTAAGTGCATTCCTTTGGAGTAACAGTTCCTTTTGTTTCATTTGTATGTCTTCATATGCCAAAGGCCATCATTTAAATAGTGGATATTTTCAATACCAATCCCTTTGTTGACCTTCTCACTGTGGAAGGAGGAAAAAGGTACAAAAGTATTAGATAGGTGAAATATTAGAGCAGTATAAAATATAATATTTAAAGTAGAAAATGCAGCATTTGTCAGCTGGAAGGGGAAAAGCTAATAATCACAAAATCATTATCCTCAACTGCAGGTGGACAAGAAACAATATTTGTTATTACATTTGCCCACATTGCTGACTGATAAGAGGACAATATTTGCCTTCCACATTTTGTCAACAGCCTTCCACAGTATTTTTGCTATTTCTTTGTGGGAGACAGTTCTTCAGACTTCTGCCACTTTCTTTAATTTTTAGCATTTCTCTACCAAAGTAGCACAGCAGTTGTGAGTCTCCCCCTCCCAGCACAGGAGGTGGTACAACATGACTGGAATGTGAAATTAGACAAGTTCTGGTTCCAAGTGTGCCACCAACACAATCAAACACAGGTGAGTTGCCTTGCTGCTGGTTGCAGGTCATCTACCTACTTAAGAAAGAATTAAAAATGCTAAATTTATGTGCCAAGGACTTGCAGCATGTTACAAACGTACCATCCTCTGTAGTATTGACTCTGTATCTTTTAAGTCATGTCATCTTTTAAAAATCTTTAGTCTGTGTGTCTGCACTGAATTTGTGTTTATCATTTTTCCAGTACATTATTCCGCCAAAAAAAAAAACCTCTAGTTTTGTCACAATAAACAAGACAAATCTCATCATTCTAGGAGTGAGAACAAGTTTCATTCCCCTGGAGAATATAATTTACTGTATTTACACCAAGTGTTCTATTACTTACACAGCTTGTCCAAAAGTAATCAGGAAGGAAAATGCTGCTAGCCCAGAATTAACACATTAATTATCGTAATCACACCGAGAGACCGCAATCACACTGTTCCACAATTTTCTAGTTTAACCAATGTAACACAAAAAAGCAGCCAGCAGGCTGCAGAGATCAGTATCACTTTGTTTTCCTCTCCAGTTCATCATAATTCTCACAGGAAAAGGATATTCAGCTGCAAGGCTGCTGAATTTGAAGTCGGGATTAGGAACACAGATAACCTTGGCTTGCAATGCTCACAGCATATCACTGCACACTTAGGGCTGGGACACTTTAGTAGCTTTTCTTTCCACTTACTCTTAGAGTATTTTGAAGCACTACAAAGAATCCTGAGAGATATAATTTCTCAACAGCTACAGCAGGTCCAAGTCCAGGTTGCTCCAGTCCCACTCTATCCCTGTCCTCTGTTACACATTCCCTCTCTCCCTTGTGCTGCCACCACTGTGACTTGGGACCGCAGAGTCACCCAGCACAGGAGATGATCCTGCTGAGCATTATCCCCACAGGAGAGAGTGACTTGTCTTCATCAAAATCAGCTTCCTCACTGCCACGAATGGCACACAGGGCTGGAACCAACCAGCCCAAACCCGCTGGGTGCCCCTCACATCCTGCTGCAAGAGCTTACAGAACTTAAAATGACAAGGTGATTTAGCTACTTAAAATATTGCACTATGTGAAAGCCAAGAACAACTAGCACCCATTTTCATTTTCTATCCCTTTTCCTTCTCAAATAATTTTCAGTTTATCCCCTGAACAGACCTCTACATTTCACAAAAAGCTCAGATAAGCTAGTCAGCACATCAAGCAGGAATGCTGCGTGTGGGTACAGGGCAGGCCACAGAGGAAAGCCCAGACAGGCAGCCAAACACCAGCATGGCTTCAGTCTCCCTGTCCCTGCACACAAAAATCACTTCAACATTTTCAATCCTCCCAAATCCAAATTGCATCTCTTGCCCAGCCCAGGTACTTGATACAAATATTTCTTTGCTCAACAAGATCTTTGACAAAGTATGATCAGAGCTCTAGAAATACTAACATTCAGCAGTAATACTAATGCTGTGCACCTTAAAATTCATATTCACATGAAATTTGATTCCAAATAAGTACAGAAGATATTCCCTGCCTACTCTTCTCTCCAATCACCAAAACGAAATCTTAAAAAACTCTGTACTTGAACAGCACATGTAATGCAGTGATGCAGTAACCCTGACAGTGGTGCTTATATTGCAAACTAACATTAAGAATAATGACATGGGACAGGTTATATTTCAATTTTTAAAACACTTACATGTCCTCAGCTGACATCTTCATTACTCCCACACATAATGCATGTTGTTTTCCCTCTGCCATTATTGCCTACAAATTACTGCTAAGGAAAACAGATTTCTTTTTAAACTACTTCAGAAAAGGAAAAGCAATACGAAGAAATTACTTCCAAAACACTTTCAAAAGCCCACGGTGAACTTTTACCCTTTTAGTAATTCTAAAGCTGCAGCTCTTAAAGATAAACAAAACAATGCACTGCATTTAACAACTGAATCACAGTGTGTAGAACAAAGCATGTATTTATGAACTTGGAACAGCAATTACAGAAAAAAAAAAAACCTCCCAGCACTACACTCCATGTCTTCCTTTGTGCCTATCACAGAGATGACAGTCTCTCCTTTCTGGAACAAAATGGCACATGTTTGTGGGGCCATTTCAGATTCCAAGGCACAGAAGAATTGGGACACAAATTTAAAAAAACAGAAGTACTGAAATCAGATGTGTCTTTTTCAAAGTCTAGCAACACATGGTGCCAACAGCTGATCTTTTCCTACAGCATCTATCTAACAACACAGGCAGCACAGCGTGGTGTTATTAATGCTGTATTTGCTCAGGGTTTCCTTTCTCAGTAATATAATGAGGAGTGAATTAGCACTTTCCTCATTTTACACTTGCGAACTTCATCAGACACAGAGAGCAAGTCCTGACTACAGTAAAGCTGATCCTTAACATCTTTCCAAATTCCACAGGAACAGGAAAGAATTCTTCCTTAACTGAAGGGAATAAAAGATTGACTATGGAGGCAGGGGACAAATTATACTGCACCTCATCTACTTTTACAGTTCTGCATAAAATCACCAAGGAGCTCCACTTACCAAGGAGATTAATGGAACAGCAGCCCACCCAGCAGTACAGCAGGAACATCACAGTAAGTAAAAAAATAAGAACAATGTAACCTTGCCAAATAACATCTAAACCTCTGCAGCTCTTTTCTGATTGCTAGTTATTTCATGAAATCCTATTAAAATCCAAAGTAATCCAGATTATGATCAGCTGAGAATACAAAACCGGAATTGAACTGGTCTCCCAGCAGGCAGTAACTCATAGTTAGAGAAGGATACAACAACAGTATCGACAGCAGCAGGGTAAAGCTTTGCTCCAGGAGACGTCAGGCCAGGGCACATTATATTGGCTCCACTTAGGACAAATTTAATGGCGCCTTTATCAACCTGCTGATGTGGCAGAATAAATGGGTCTGGGAGGGGAAAGATAGAGCATTACAGTTAATACAGGAAGATGACAACAGGAATAACTCATTACCAAGTCAGTTTAGAGGGGGCAATTAGATACACAGTGTGCTGTGAGGGCAGGAAGTCTGACAATCACCAGGGCTCCTGCTGGGCTGTACTGTCCCAAAAGGACACAAGTGCTGTCCCAAAAGGACACATCTTTTACCTGAGAATCAAAGGTAACCCAGCACTAGAGGCCTATGCCTCCTGCACATTCACAGACCCACATACTGAGTAACAATTTTAACAAGTTCCCACAGGGAAATAAATCTCTCAAGTGCTCAGATACTCAGAGGTCTTAAAAAAAAGAGATCCCAAATCCCCCAAATGTACTCTTACAAATTAACCTAATATGAAACAGTTTAGTGTTAAGAGGACAAAAAAGGCAAAGATGGACAAAATTCATGAAAGCTGTCAGCTCTCCAAGCCATCCTTCAAGTGCAGGCACCCTCCTGAAGTATTTCCAGCATTGAGATTTGACTAAATAACATTTTTTGGGATTCAAATCAGAGTAACACAATCAAGCAGAACAGGAAGAAAAATAATGCAATGGTAAATTTTAGAAGTAAAAATCATGCAGCCTAAGTTCCTACAGGAGGCAAGAACACATTACATCATTAAACCCACTACAGATCACAAAATATTTTTTTCATCCTTCTCTTCCCAGCACTTCCATCCTCAGAAAACTTACATTTATGAAGCAACCTTAGCGTGGGGTAAAAAATCCCTTCTCTTTGCCTGAAGAACAGCAACTCCCCATTCACAGTGAGGATTTCTATATGTTCATGACTGCAAGATTAAAAAATAATTATTCCAATAGCTACTTAAATGTTTAAATGAAATATTTCACTTCATAGTGTCTGGTTTATCTTGGTACCTGAGAATTAAGACAGTCAATTAGCAAGAAAATATAAAACTAAAAATATTATCTTTTTGCATGGCTCATTCTTCAACAATGGTCTCCTGCTCACTTCCTTCCCCTTTAAAAAAAAAAAAACTACAGACAAAATGCACAAATTGCGTTTCTTTGGGGTTTTTGAATGCAGTGCAAGGGGTGGATAAGGAGAAAGGGTCAGCAAAAACGTACTAACCCTCTATCTAGAAAAAAATTAAATAGCTGAGATAATATATGGAAGGCCAAAAATTGTAAAAAATGTTACTGGAAGGTATCCAAACAAGTCTGAACTTCCATACCCATAAAGCTGAATGTTTCCCTTCAACAACAGGCTAATCCTTGGGCAGTCCCTGAACACACTGCACGTTCACTACTAGGCAGCAGTTTTATGTTCTTCAAGCATCCTACAACAGCAAGTGCCTTCAAGAGCGTGATGAGCACATGTAAACTTTCTGGTTTGGCCATAACTTGGACTATTAGCTTTAAGATATGATAGATGCCTTTCAAAAACAGCAGGTTCATCTACTCTACAAAGTCAACACATAAAGGAAGCACCTTAAAAGCAAAGCTCAAGAGAGAAGAAACTTACCATCTTACTATTTTGACCGGGTCTTTCTTTGGCATGATTTGGTTTAGCCATGGTTCAATAACAGGAAACTGGTCTATCAGTTGATTCTTGATACCTTTAATAACTGAAGTCTTCAGCTGGATACAGTTCGATACATTCTCCTTTTCATCAAATCTGTAAAGTGAGTGAGTTTTTCAGAAATGCACAATTTACTGCCTGAACAATGCTGTAATTGCATTACTCTTCAGAAATGTTTATATATTCAATACAGAACAGCACATCAACTGTCCAACTTTCAAATCCAGGATTTCATGAGACTTAAATTTGTCTCCTGGGAACACTGGGCAGAGGGATGGTAGGGGAGCCCCACTAGCAGGCTGTCTTCATCCCTAAACTTTGTGGATATCTCCACAAAGCAGGTGTTTAGCCTCACAGACACACCCTGGCACACAGTGTTATTTCACTCAACTCCAAGAGCACTTTGCTGGCAACACAAACGCCCAGAGCCCTGTTGGGATGCGAGCCCCTCACCTCCACCACACAAGTACGAACGGCGCTTTGTGCCACCCCGAAGTTGAGACAAGTTAATGACTCAGCTCCCTCCGGAGGGTTTCCCATTTAACAACCGAGTGCCCGAGGCAGAGCCGGGGCCGCGCTGCCCGAGGAGGCCGCGGGGCCGCTCCCGAGCAGGGCCGAGCCCGGGGCTGAGGGGGCGCCGGGCCCGCCCGGACCCTTCCCCTTCCCTTTCCCCCGCCCCTCCCGGCCCCGGCCACACTCACTTCTTGAACATCCTGCGGGCGGAGGGCGCCGGGCGGGGGCCGGGGCCGGGCTCCCACAGCCTCGGCGCTGCTCACACGCGGCTCCGGCCGGGCCGTCCCTCGCTCCGCGCCCGCCGGAAGCGCCGCTCCATCCCCGCGGAACGGGCGGGGCTCCGGCAGCGCCTCCCCGAGCACCCCCGGCACCAGCGCGGCCCTGCCCCTGCCCGCGGGAGCAGGCGCTGGATACCTGCGGGCACGCCGCCGCTCCGACAGAATAAATCCTTTAACCGAGTGTCAGAGTGCTCGTAGCTACTCACGTCGTTTAGACACAAAATGTGTTGAACGGGAAAAAACCGCTGCCACCTGCAAACTAGCAGAGGGAGAAGCTGTCCACCCGCCAGCTTCAGAGCAGGACAAGCGATCCTGTCACCAGCATTCTGGAAATAAAAGGGGGGATAAAAAAAAACAAAAAAAAAGCGTTTCTTGTCAAGCAGCAGATACTGGAGCCGGCCAGGGAGTCAGTCACAGGTGACAGTGCCACATCCTTCAGTAGGGAGTGGGAGCAGAAGCCTGGTTTGCAGAGATTTCAGCTGCCCGGCAGAGATGGGCTGTGGTGGGGACAGTTACGGTCCACAGTGTTTATTAGAATCACATTAGATTTTGCTTGGTCATGGCTCCAGCAATCGTGAATAGAAAACCGTAGACAGAGGGAATTTACCACACTGCTTTTTCAGTCTCTGAGGAGCAGACATGCATGTGTTTGTTCTCTAGGCGGGTGGCTGCTATATAAGCAGACGTACAGGTGCCCATCCTTTCTTTTTAGAGTCATGGCTTTTTAGAGTCCCTTCTCTGGCGTAAAGGGAAGGGAGGAGAGGACATAAAACACCAGGTTATCATTATGCCAACAACCAAGTTCTTTTTTCCAAGAAAATTATGCAATCACCTTTGATACTATAACAACTAATTAAATCCTAAGAGTTACAGCAGTCATACAAAGTAAAATCAAGCTTTATATGTGGTATCATCTATTCAACTAGTGAAGTACAGCATCAGGAACACATTAATAACTTTTTAAGAGGATAGGAATGAACTATGGCATTACATAAATTTCACTCATAAACGCTACCTCCACCTACTTTGTAACATCACTAAAAATACTGAGTTATAATCAAGAATTCAATTATAACTGAAACACAGTGACACTGCTCATGCCCAGATTAGAAACTGAGAACAGTTTATCACACTGACAAACTATGTCATGCATTTTTGGTGCTCCTTAGAAAAATCTTCATTAAATAATACTTTGCCATGTAAACAATCACATTTTTAAAAACTGTAGTGAAAAATTCATCCTACTTCCACCTCAGATGTTAAAAAAAAAAAGATAAAATTCTACCCTTCCTGAGGACTGTTACCACCTGAGCAATTGTTTTCATGCCTGCCTAAACAAGCAAGATTAGTCCCTAATTTTCAAAAATGGCATTTGTCAACAGGAAGGCCTTACCTCCATTCTTTTGCTATCTTAAAGCACTTGGACTACTGGTTCCCTTCTGGGCTGAGCTAACATCGAGTCTGGTCTCAGCTTTTCCATCTTCTCTTCCAAATATCTTTTGCTGGTGTAGCTGCAGACTTCAGGGCCAGGTAACGGCTCACCCAATCTAAAAGTGCTTGTACAGAGGATTTTTGAAGAAGGTTCCAAGGACCTGGACCGGACTTCTGTAATACAGCTCTCAGTGTTGCTGTTCAGCCTCACCACCAAGAAGCTGGAGACATTTGCTCTGGTTGCAGTGTCACTTTTAAGTACAAGAATTTTAAAAGCACTTTACCTGGACAGGACTGACAAAGCAAGGGGCATATCCAGCAAATGGCATTACGACCCTTCCAGCCCTGAGAAAAACCACCCCTCAGGACCACATGCTAAATAGAAAGGATTTAGAATCTCTTCCCTCATAAGTTTGGAGGAGAAACCATCACATCTGGTTTCTTCATGGATCCCCAGCACTTTACATTACCGTCACCTGCTCTTCCATATCCAGAGCTGCATATTCTCACTGATGGGACAGAGTCACTGACTCCTGGACAGGATAACCCTTTTGCACCTCCAGGAGAAGGGGCACTTAATCACGTCTCTTCTTTTTGAAATCTAATCCTTTCAACAAACCAAGAATCTGTAGAAATTTTGTATCTCTTACAGCTCTACACTCCTTACCTAATTTGGCTTAAGTGAACATGACAGTTACTGCAAACAGAGGAAAATTTTACAGCACAGTCACATAAGTTTTATTTACTTAGCAAACCTGGTTTTTTGTTACATCTGACTTGGAATGTAAGGTATTAGCCTTGGGAACCCACAAACTGTTCTAAAGCCAGTCAAAAACAGACTTAAGCTTTGTTTTGCTGATGTATTTTTTTTAATCTGGAAAAAGCACTCTTCTACACATCGCTAGCATTACATTCCAGGCCTCAGGAGTTGTCTGACGGTGACTCAGTGACAAAACATGCTCCAGAAGAACCTCAGTAACATCACATTCCTATCTCTATGCGCCACAGTTTCTGTCAAGACAAGTTAGCGTATCTTTTCCTATCAAACACAGAAGTGCCACCAGCCTTCCCCCGAGGAGCTCTGCTGTCAGGCAGGCAGGTGTGCGCTCTCTGCTGAAATCCTTGGAGAACCTCCTGGAACAAAAACCTCATCGCCTGGTTTGTTACTCTTTCCACAGCCGTTTCTCAACAGCGTTTGAATCATAACAATGTTCCCGGGGAGTTCACAGCCCTTTTGGGTAACAGATCCACCAGCATCAAAAAAAAAAAAAAAAGACTCTGAAGGGCCACGACTTCTGTGTTTGCTTCCAAAAGTTTAAGAAAAAAAAAAAAACAAAAAAAAAAAACCACACTGGGCTGTAACCCGATGCAAGTCCGTATGTATTAAAGTCACACGAAAAAGCTGATGCTAAATGATTGTTTATAAATACGTGTAAGAAAAACCATTTCCATAACAGGCCGAGGCCTTGGCCGCAGGCTCCGGGGCCGGGCTCCAGCGAACCCCGCCGTGCACCGCAGCGACCGCAGCCGGAACCCGCGGGGGGACGGGCCGGGTGAGGGCCCGGGAGCCGCCCCGGCTGAGGGCAGGGCAGGGCAGGGCAGGGCAGGGCAGGGCGGGACCCCGGTACGAGACTCCCCAACTCCACAGTCCCACCACACAGAACGAGCCCGCCAGCGCGGGGATAACGAGCCAGGATCAGTTCCGGCGGGTCCCGGGGCGGTGCCGGGGCGGTCCCTGAGGCGGTTCCCCGGTGCCGGGGCGGGTCCCGCCGCCTCCCCGGCCGCGCTTCCGTGCGCCGCGCCCCGTCATGCACGGCGGGCGGATGCGCCGCCATCTTTGCGCTCCCTCCGCCGTGCGGTGACAATAACAACCGGCCGGGCCGTCCCCCCTCAGCAGCGCGGGCACAGCCGGAGAGGGGGGAGCGGGGCCCGAGCGCAGCGGCCGCGGGGCAGAGCGGGAGGCGTGCGGGGCCCAGGGGCTGGAGCCGAGGCGAGAGGGAGCCGCGCTCAGCCCGCCCCGCTGCTGCTCGGCGGAGACGAGGCGGCCGGAGCAGGAGGGGAGCGCAAGGAGAAGCCGGGGGAGCGGGCGGCCGTGGGGCATTCCGCTGCCGGAGAGCAGAGCCCAGAGGAGCTGGTGGGGGTGAGAGGCAGGAACGGAGGCGCTCCACTGAGGAAGGAGCGGAAGCAGGAAGGCAAAGGCAAACTACGAGAAGAAACAAAGTATTAAAGAAAAGGGGAAGAGGAGATAAAGTGATTGCTCCGACAAAGAAGAACGAGAAGGAGAGGGAATACGGAAGGACTCCACTGATGAGAGAGAGGAGTTGAAAGACCCCCCCACGAGAGACAGCAAACAGAGACTGGCTCTAAAACTCTCCCTCTCTTTGTCACACCACAAGGATTTGATGCCCCTCAGCCTGTTCACTTCTGTGTGTTCATGTTTCCCACAGGTTTCTCTTCCCCCAACCCCCCAGCTGCAGCCCAGGAGGTCAGACCTGCCACTGATGGTAACACCAGCAGCAGCTCCTCCTGCAAGAAGAGAAAGTTAAATAACAGCAGCAACAGCAATTCCGAAAAAGAAGAATTTGATTCCATTTCCTCCTGCACCTCTTCTCCTTCCAAAAACACCTCCTCGTCATCCTCCTCCGTCATCACCACCTCCTCGTGCTCCTCCTCAGGGGTTGCTTCCTCCAACCATCACCTCCAGAAGAAGCTGCGCTTTGAGGACTCCGTGGATTTTATTGGACTCGATGTGAAGATGGCTGAAGAGTCTTCTTCCTCCTCCTCTCCTGCTGCCTCTTCCCAGCAGCAGCACCAACAGCAGCTCAAAAATAAAAGCCTTTTAATTTCATCAGTGGCTGTGGGGCACCATGCAAATGGCCTGACCAAAGCTGCCTCCTCTACTGTTTCCAGTTTCGCCAACAGTAAACCTGGCTCTGCTAAGAAATTAGTGATCAAGAACTTTAAAGGTAACAGGCCATAATTTGTCACAACTTAGGGGGAGCTGACACTCGACTTCATGTTTTGTTTTCAGCCTGAAAACCGGTTCCTTTCAAATAGCTCCAGGTTTTACGGGAAAGGCTTTTCTGTGGCGAACATTTCTATACTTATGTAAAGGAGAATAATGTTTTCTGATGCATGCTTGCCCAGTCATGTACACATCCTGAGCTACACTTTGCTGCTTGGAATTATTTTTCAGGCTCCTTTCACTCTTGTCAGTCGAGAAGGCCTTAACTTGTATGTTAGAGGAAAGGTTTTACTACCTATGTGTGTAAATTGCCTTCGTTCAAACTTCTAACGTTTGATACCTCTTTGCTAGTAATCCTGATTCAGGGCTTAGTGTTTATTTTAATCTAGTTTATGATAAGTCTTTGCACAGATCGTGTTTTTTTTTAAATTGGCCTTGAATCTACATGTCTTGCCTCTGTCAGTGTTGTCTGTTTATAGGTTAATCTGCCTGTGCTTAGTTTTAAATGTTGAAACTAAGGTGATTATCAGGCTCTTATGGCGGATTTCCTTTCTGGTTTTCCCAGTTGCCTTTAAAGTAGGTAGTTCAGATTTTTACTGAGTGTTTTCCTTGTAATATCCTCACTGTAACTTATAATAGTAGTTTCTT